AAGAGAGAGAAGAAGAAGAGAAGAAGAGAAGAAAGGGGAAAAGGAGAATCCTCTCCTCGACCACCGCCAGAGCTCTTCCTGCCGCCTGAATATGCCGAAACTCTGCCGGATTTTCGGAAAACGACGGGATTATGCAAAACTTTGTAAATCTGCTTCAAGTTGTAATATGATCGTCCCGATTTGTGGAAGGAATCAGTTTCTTGTAATTTACAAAAACACTAGTGAAACTTTTCAGCTGGGCGTGGCCCCGTGTTTTTTCCCTCTTCTGGGTTTTCCACGTAAAAATACTGGTGTTCATTTTCTTTTCTGTTTGCGTGCTGAATATTCGTGCAACGCTCGGACGTGAATTTCTAAACTCTACCGCCGCGTATATTCTAGCCCGCAACAAGTATATTTAACGCCCCTTAACTTTTGAAATGAGTACAAACTATAATCTTGGTATATATGAAAATATTTCTTTTCTTTATATTTATTAGTGCAATATTTTATTTTTTAAATGAATTGATTAGTGTGTTTGGAGCTTTTGTTGTGCTAAGAAATATGAATTTTTTTAAAGCAATATAGCATAAAGACTTCAAAAATAAATAAATAAATAAATAAATAAAGACATTGCAATTTGCTTGAGGTATTCGGTGTGGATTTAAGCTTTTTCAAATCACTAAAGTTGACGCGATTCAAACCTCATGGAAGGCGGGCGCATACACGCGCGGGGGCTCTGGCGCCGCGCCGCAGCGGGAGTTTGTCACCGGCAGCCCGAGCGCGGGAGCGGGATCGCACACGCGGTGCCGGGAGGCGGGGATTCGTCGCCGGCAGCTCGAGCGCGGGAGCGAGTGCGTTGCCGGCAGACCGAGCGCGGGAGAGATGTAATATAAAGAACATCGGCATTGATGCGACGCAAGGGAGGCAGGAGTGATTTTCATTTTTAAAGAAGAGAGTATTTTTGAGAATATTTAACAAAAGTAAAATACATACTTTATATAATTTAAATATGTTTTCTAAAAATAATAATAAAAAAAAGGATTTCAAATAACCCCCAAGTAAGCACATACTTTGCTAAAAAGATATTTAGGCTTATTGATTTCTACATCGACTTTCTTGTACAAAAAATATATTGAAAGCAGTGACAATAAAGTAGCCAAAAGCTATCCCAAACTAAGCCTTAATTTGGAGAAATTACTCTGTGTATAATCCAGATGGGAAGAACCGTCCGAATTGTCAATATACACAATATATAAAAAGTGGGTACAAAAAATTAATACATATTATGTACAAATTTGTAAACAATGTGTTCACTCACATGTCTGGACGATTCTTCCCATCCGGACTTTGCACGGAATAATTTCTCCTTAATTCTTTATGTTCGTAGAAATGACTCCTTCTCATGTATAATTAATATTGACAAATTTATGCAATTCAAAATATATTTGATTAAAAATCTTTCTCAACCTATAATACTTAGTGGTCAGCACTTAACAAAAATAATGGTGCCATAATAAATATTTACCAATAATTTATTATTATCTTTTAAAACTTTAAATAGTTGGATGTCAAGAATTAGATGTTGATGAAAGGTAGTAATAAGATGTCAGTTAATCTTAACTAGATTGAAAATGTTCAATGATGTTAATAAGTGAATGTTTGATATCTAAACAATGACCATTATGAGGCATTAAGCTTAAGTGTTCTCCTTCAAGGAAGTAGATAAGGAAATTTGATAGGCGCATATCAAACACAAATGATTCACATATTTTAAAAACATGTTAATTAGCGGATGTCGAACATTATCGAAGATCAAACATTAAAAGTTGGACATCAATTAATAATGAAATCGAGGATAATTTTGCAACAAATGTTTAATGGTTCATGATCATCAAGTGATGATTACTCCCAATTTAGGATGTATATATATATATATATATATATATATATATATATACATATATAATTTCATCAAAATGTTCTTATCAATTTATCTTTGTAAATATCAATTCATCACAGCACAACAGCCGGCCTCATATAGGAAGGGAGAGGATAATATGGTACTTAATCTAAATTAATCCAGCACATTTCTTTTTATTACCAGTAATGTATGCCCTAAATAATTCCCATAATTGAGTAAAAATTGGTTGAACAATCCCAATGCTATGACACCATAACAATTCATCAATTGGATGATTATCCAAATAAAATAACTTCAAAATGTTAAGATTTTTTTTTTTGGCATGATAAAAACAATCTTAAGGAAAAATTCTATATAAAAGTCCCCTTCAAATTTAAGTAAAAATTCTTCAATGCTTTATGGTGTAGAATGTTGGCCATTAAAAGAGAAGCATAATGTTAAAGTAAGTATTGCAGAGATGAGGATGCTTAGGTGAATGAGTGACTTTACTCTTGGAGATAGGACATGAAATGAGAATATAAGTTAAAAGGTTTGGGTAGCTCCAGTGGAAGATAAGATTGGAGAGAGTCGCCTAAAATGGTTTGGTCACATAAAACGACGACCTTCTGATGCCTCATTTGAGAAACTAGATGTATTAGTGTGTTACATAAAACAAGCTTTTGATTTCTAGTCATACAAAATCTTTGCAAAAATTTCATGTCTTTTAAGCTAACAAGAACAAAATTGCACAAGATTGATGTCAATGAAACTTGAACATAGACCCTAACAAAAGAGATTTGTGATTTAGAAACAGTAGGATTATCTTAAGAAACCTAATCTAATTCCAACATGTTAGATAGAAGTTGGAGAATTTGATCCAAAGGGAAATCTCATAAAAAATCTTGGCTGATAGGCTTGAAGTTTTTTAACAAAGCAAGATCCCCCGTCTCCAAACATATCTTAATATTTTTTGCTAGAAAAGTTAGGTAAATAGAAGTCACCTGCGTGAAGAGCACAAAACTTTCCAAAAAAATTTCTTCCTACTCTTATTATTCATCAATGTCAATGTTATCATCGGCTAAAAACACAACTTCATCTCCTCGAGACATAAAAGAGGGAGCCCAATATTCATACAAGGTAATAAATTTGGGATGTCAAATTTTCTTGCAAAACAAATCATGTGGAGAAAGAAATTATTACGTGCGGAGTCCAGACGTATCTTGCGTTGTCTGGAGTCCTATTAAAATAGGCTACGTCGCCTGTACACAGCATATGTATAACTTTATATACATAGTGTGTATAATACACACCATGTGTACAGGCGATGTCTATTTTGACTGGAGTCCGAACACATCCAGTTGTTGAGAAGGGGGGTTAAGAGATAGGTTTTAGAAAGTAGGATAGAGGATAAAGTATGCATGCATGCCCTCTGATGAAAAGCCTCGGACATAAAATGCCTAAAAAGAACCTTAAGAGGGTGAAGATGTTTATTAGAGAAGTTGTGATTTCATTAGATATTTGCGTGCCGAAACAAACATGAATTATCACAATATTCAACTTTTTGAAATCATCTTAGCTACATTGACTTGAGAGCATGAAATGAATAAAAGTTTCATTCTAGCGAAAGCACTTGGGCTTCACATTCTTCTTGGATCAAGGGTTTGTCAAAAGAGTTTTCCCCCTTTCCCCTTTGATTGAAGGACGATGATAAGGAAATCTACTCTTCATGTAAGCATATTAACTTTTCTCGCATCTACTTCTATAATTTTGATTAAGGCTTAGATAAACTTGAATAACAATGTTAAAATCTTAAATTGTGAGCTCATAATTATTTATTTTTGCCTCTTGTAGAACCTCAATTTGATGGCATCGAGCGAACCAAAATCGATTTGAGAATTGGTGCCAACTATAATAAGTAGCTATTATTTATTAAAGAACAAACATGTCTTCTTAATTAGAGGAGTTATCCTTCTCAATCATACAAGGCTCCTTGATATATTAGGTTCTCAATTTTACTTTCAACTTCATTTATTATTTTGCATATGCTTCATTTGTTATTTTGCATATGCTATAGATCTTATTATTGCTCATAATGAAGGCATCATGTAATAGATGCAATCTCACTTTGATTTATTGATGTAAAATCTCTTATTTGTTTAACATGTTTACTGTCATAGATAATTTTTTGTATAAATCATTGTTCTATTAAATGCAATAAATGATACTCTTGTTATAAATTATATTGATTATATAATACATATTGGAAATTTACTTGTAAAAACATAGACATTATATGTTTTATATATAAGTTGATAGAACCCGATTGAATATTTAGCTAGCTGGGCCGAAAGACCCTCAAAGAGACGACTTTATAAAAAATCATTGCACTTCATTGGATTAATGTTTACCTTCCTAATGCATAGTATTTGACAAAATTAACTATAATTATATACATATAAATGTCAAGATATATAATTAAACATGAATCGAATACAATGAATAATTAATAAATTATTTACAAGAATGATAATATTATGTGCATAAACTTAAGTTTCATTACATTAATAACAAATTAACATGAACATTTACATTAACAGTATATTAGAACCATTTTAGGAACAAATCATAACATACAACATTATCATATTGATGCATTAATCATCACTCATCACTCCTATTCCTACAATTAGCGATGTTGCATGTTATATTCCTTTGTCGTTTATACTTAAATAAATAAGAATTACTTATTCAGTTTAACGTATCAAACTCACTCGTTGTTCTCTTTTCATAATAGATTATGTCAGAATGCTTAGCGAATTATCACCGCAAGAGTAGATCTATCAACCATAGCTACTTGATATTTTTAGGTTAAGTCTCCTATCATTATTTAAGTTATATTACTTACGTACACACTTTTCTTGTGAGTATAAAATAAATCTTTCTATCCCTTCATTGTATCTCATATTGTTGAGATGTACAATCTTCCGAGCTCAGGCTGTGACATTTTATTTTTGTGCTTATTATCATTTGAACATATAAATAAATTTATGAAATAACTGCACAATCATTATTGCATACACCAACAACAAATTAATGGACCTACAAAACTGTTCAAAGAAAATAAAAAAATAAAAAAAATTGTACTTCAGAAAGAGAAGAAATAAACGAGGTTAGAGACATATATCTTTTACACAAATCAACAGCTCAATTATTCGATAACAATCACCAGAATTATACAACCCTCTTTAACAAAGAAAAAGCAAAAATGGGCAAACAAATGCAAGAATTAAAAATAGAATATCCTCGTCCGAACGAGCTATATACCTATTTATACATCTCCTAAACCAAAAAAAAAAAAAAAAAACTTTCTTATGTACTAAAGTACGGTGAAAACGAAAGCCATTATGGTGATGTGAAGCCTTGGAAATTAATCAGAAAACTTATACTGCCTCTGCTAAATAATACGCAGGAAACCGAGAACAAAGCCATTCCAGCCTCAAAACAAAATGGCCTGGCCCTCCAGCGACAACAACATTAATAAACTGGGACTAAAGACGAGTCTTTCTCAGAGAAGCTATTTTTGTATTTTAGGATCTAAATTTCCCATCCCACGCTAGATTGCACTAATTTAATTAAGTATTTTAGTAGAAGGGGCGAATGAATGATCCTGGGAAATCACATTTTTACCTAGTTGTAAATTTTCACAGGCTTCTCGTATGTGCTGTGACGGTTCTGCAGAGAAACAAGTAGAAAAGCCAGTGAGAAGTAAGGATAAAAGATTGTTCTATCAAAAGCATGAATAAAACCACGAGCATTTTTTGTTCTGGATGGCACGAGTGCAGGGAAAATTATTAGGTACAGTCACCGGACGTAGAGATAGGTCCGGACACCAATAAAATACTGATATGTGAAATGTACACGTATCCGCGGAATTTTAAGTCAAACACGCAGGTAAAGCGTAGGTAAAGTGCAGGTAAAACGCAGTCAAAGCGCACCTAAAGCGCGGTCAAAGCGCAGTCCGCGTGGCAAGTTTTAATTGGATGTTCGGACCTATTTTTAGATCCGGTGACCGGACCTAATAATGTGCCCGAGTGAAGACGGACTATATGCAATAGAAAAGTGGTTGTGTTACCTGATTTACTTGATAAGCTTTTTTTGGAGCAGTATCTGAATGTTCCAATCCAAGGCATTGCTCCCAAGCCCCATAAACATCTCTTCTCTGAAAATAAATACCAAAGAAATTGTTAAAATATAAATAATTGTGCAAGAACAAAAGTAAATATAACTATGTGACATGTATACCTGAAAGCGAACAGAAACTACATCAGAATCTTGAAGATATTCATGCCGGCCAAGTACTAAGCATGCAAATTTCCACTGATGAAAAAACTAAAATTAGCTTTAACTACACAATAGTACGAAGAAACAATCCTCAAATAACAAGCCGAGTAAAATCAAGTAGTACTTAAGAAAATTATGAAACTCTTGAAAAAATTCAGTCTGGTAGACCTCGATAAAACATGAGGAGAAGAAAACAGAGTCGTTGCATTCTCGGAGTTTTGGTCACCGAGAATGCATCAGGACTATAAGAAATGGTAATATTTGTGGCCTATAGGGACAGAAAGAGAAGGAAATATGAACGAAGATGTACGTGAAGTGAGAAGAGCGGAGAAGAAAAACAAGGCTGGATAGTGAAAACAAGAAGTAGGGGAGATAACCCTGAGGAAAGCAGGGAACAGAAACGGAAAAAAAGAAAACGACAAATAACAGCATGCATGATGCAGGACATCTAAGTCTAGAAATATTTTCTAATACAAATTCAAGATAGGATGCACAAAAACATGTTAAAAACATCAAAATTCATAACCCATCAACTCTTGGGCAAAATTTTCATCTCTTTTGACGCAAATCAGAAAACATGTAAAACTCGTTCAAAACAATAATTTAAAGGTAAAATTGAAATTATGCAAAATTTATACATTGAAATAAAACTAAATAATAAATAAGATTCATATCACACAAAAGAAAATCAGATTACAACATGCTTAATCAAATCTCAATCAACGTAATAACCTATTTCAAAGTATGTAGATGGAATATAAAGAATAAAAATCACTAATAAAATAAAATAAAAATAAAAGAATAAAAATCACTAGAGAAGATGGGAGGCCTAATTGTCATCATAAAGGCTTGCATCATTCTCGAAGAATTCACATTCAACAACACATAAAAGTAAGGAAATCTGAATATAACATGCCAAAAGACCCATTTATAATTAAAACTAAGGAGCTGTTTGGTTGGCTAAAAAAAGATTGCAATGTAAAATGAATACATGATAAAAGAATGCAATATAAAAGAAATACAGTGAAGTTGTTTGAATGAGTGTAAAGTAAATTCAAGTGATTTTTTTAAGCAAAATGAATGCAGTGTAAAGTCTAAAGATTGTGGGGACTGACCGGTGGCGATGGTGGCGGTGGTAGGAGTGTTAAGATATGTTTTTAGGTCGGGTTCGGGTCCAACTTGAAATTGACCAGCCTTCAACTAATCCAACCCGAACCTGATCCGATTAGACAAACAAGTCAGAAATTCAAATCCAGACCCGACCTAACTCGCTACCCATGGGTGCGAGTAGGCGAGTGTCAAGCACAACTTTGAAAGCATTGGTGCTAGTGAGGGCGTGCGTAACCGTGAGCGGGCGAGGGAGAGAGCATGATTGCATGAGCGGGGGTGCGAGGCTGTGAGCACAAGCACGTGGAGCAGGGGCGAGGAAGGAAAGCGTGACGAAGGTGCGAGTTTCTTTCACGACTCGGTACAGGAGGGCAATGCGGGTCAAACTCGAGTCGATTTCAAGTAAGCAGGTTCACCTGAACACGATCCGATTTCTAAAATGGGTTAAGAATTAGGACATGAACCTGACCATTTGTTAAATGGGTCGACCTTAACCCGAATTGTCAGGACTAGTTTGTTAAACACATCAGCCCGAACTCAAAATTTTTGAGTTGAGTCATTAATTGACACTCCTAGGCAGCAGGTAGCAGTATTGACCAACAACAGGTGGTGGCAGTGTCCTGCAACTAGTGGACTGCTGGTAGTCGACGGTAGGTGGATGGAGGAGGTGAAGGCCGTGGCCTGCGATGATGGTGGTGGCATGCAACGGCCGACGACGGTGGTGGCCGACCGAAGCTGGCGGCGACGGTGGTGGTGACTGGCGACAATGATGGTTGCGGTCAGCGGGTGGCAGTTGTGGTAGCCGGAAGATGGTGGCGGTGGTGGTAGGTAGCATTGGCGGCAGTCAAGCAAGCTTGCTTACGGTGTAAACCATTCTCGCTCAAAATTGGGCAAGTTTGATTTATCTCAAAAATGAACTAGAATTGTTTATCCTGCATTTACTTTACATTCATTTTTCATTCAACCAAACACCAAAAATTTCAAAACTCTTGCATTTAATATACTTTACACCAATTGGGAATCCAAACAAACGGCCCCTAAATTAATAATTGGTAGTTTCACAAAAAGTCCATAATCTAGTTTTGTTGAATCACACAACGAGGGGGCCCACGACTTTGAGAGGTCAGCAATACGTGGGCTGCAGTTGGAGATTTCCTATTATGACACCAATATTCATGGGATATGATTCCAAGATTCGTGAGATATAATTCTTAGAATCAATTATATTAAATGTATTTTTTTTCTATTTATTCTCCTAGAGAGATAGTATATATATATATATATATATATATATATATATAATGATTCCAAGGAATAAAATTTGAATTCAATTTCCCCTAAACAATTTCTTCATGATATCCGAGCATAGGAAAATCCTAAGCCTTCTCTGAGTGCCAGCGGCAAACCTTCCTCCCTTTCTTCCAACCTTCAGCGGGCGATAACTCTCCATCATACTATCGTTAGAGCAATGGTAGCCCTTGCCCAAAATTCATTTTCTCTTTCAGCCGAGGAAACCTAACCAGGTCCATGGATAGCAAGATCTCATCCTCCTACCCAAATATTACCAATTTAAATGGAAACTCTAGACCTCCTCTCATCACAAACCATAGATTTAATGGGCAAATTTCTTTACAATGGTCTCAATCGGTGAGATTGTTTATTTGTGGGAGAGGGAAAGAGGACTACTCACTGGTGAAGCCCCAACTACCACTGCAAAACGATCCTCTCCATAGAAAATGGTAAATAGAGAATCATCAGATCATGTCTTGGCTCATCAACTCCATGAATATATAAATCAGTGAAAACTTTCTTCTTTATGAAACAACCCAAGAAATATGGAAGGCCGTTAAAGAGACCTACTCCAATTTTGACAAGACTTCCGAGCTATTTGCAATTGAGACCATCCTTCACGACTGCCAACAATAAGACCTGATAGTAACTCAATATTTTAATACTCTAGTCCATTATTGGCAATAATTAGATATGTTTGAATAGTATCAATAGAAATGACCAAAAGATTGTTGAGACAAAAAAAATATTCAAATTCTTGATGGGTTTGAACAAGAACTTGGATGGTGTTAGAGGACGGATCACGGGAACCAAACCTCTTCCAAATCTCCGGGAGGCCTTTGCTGAAGTTCGAAGGGAAGAGAGCAGAAGAAAGGTCATGTTAGGAGGCCTACAAGGATCTCCAAAGGTTGAAAAAGGAAATGCTCTTATTGTCCGCAATAATTGAAACTCCTCACATGTTGAAAATCGACATCAAAAGAAGGGAGGAAAACCATGGTGTAGCCCTTGTGCGAAAAGAGGAAATAAAAGAAGACGTGTTGGAAGATTCATGGAAAAGCAGCTGATTGGAAGGCAAACAAATCAGCACAAGAAAGCAAGGCGAACTCTGTTAATATCACGCAAGATCAATCCATCAAAGCTGAATCCATTCATTTCACCAAGGATCATTTAGAGATGTTGAAGTTGTTGCTTAACAACATTACGAATCAACAGTCTTCAGAACCTGCTACCAACCTACAGGCTCACTCAGGTATAAAACAGTCAAACAACCCATACTTCACTAGTTCTGAAATTCATGGGGAGATTGAAGGTGAATTTCAAAATTGGGAGTGGAATTTCTTATTATACAACCAAATAGAGTCCAATCAAAATCAACAAATATCACAAGAAATCCGAACAACGAGTATTTCCCAAAGTATATGATGGGGAAATCAGAGTATGGAAAGTTTATCAGAGGCGTGGCCGCCGATCTACGGCCACGATCACGCCGATATATTTTTAAGTCCTCATATATACTTATTTTTATTCACTTGTTTTTCTATTTGTTTTAGTTATTTTTCCCTTTTTATCCCTTACTAAATGGTGGTCATGTGTAAGCCCAAAGGGCTAAGTCGTCTTTTATGTTTTCGTCTATTGTATGAGGCTATATATAGCCCTTATGTTTTCTTTTGAAAAAAGGAATGAATGATAAATTTTTTGCGTTTTGAATTCTTGTGAGAGCTTGAGAGAGTTTGGAGAGAGACCCCTTGAAGAGGGGATCAGATCACCCACAAACCTTGGAAGAGTCCGGGTTCATGGCTAGTTTTTTCTTTTTTTTTTTTCTCATCTTCCTCTCTTCTCTTCTATCCCACGGTCCACCCCACCCTAAGCCGCTGGCCACCTCCACAAAACCCCACCACCGGCCAACGACTAATTCCCCCACCCTTTCTCTTTGGCTAGCACTCAAATCTTCTACCTCCACCCGACCCTATCTCCCTTCACCCCACCCACGGCCAAGCCACCTAGCCGCCGACCCCCCCCCACCCCCCCTTTGGCTTTCCCTCCATCAATGCTTGCAATTACATTCTTCCTAATTAGACCTTTATATTTTATATAACTCAATTAATTTGCAAATTCAAATCTCTTTGAATTTGAAATTGTTGCCTAAAATACAAATTCTATTTTAGGAAAGTTGCCAAATTTTAGCTCTTTGAATTTTTAAATTAATTGGGAATTAATTAAGCCCTTCCTAATTTAATAATCCAAATCAAGAAAGCTTGCTTTATTTCCCAAATCCCTCCCTCTCTCTCCCCATGCTGCAGGCCCCCTTGGGTCCCCACCTCCTAAATACTTTCCAACTTCAAGCCCTCCCCCTTAGGAAAGATTTCAAAGCCTCTTTCCTTCTCTCCTATATCCCCCCCCCACCCTCTCTAATCCTTTTCCCTTTTAATTCTTTCCAAGTTTAAGAATTAAATAGGGAAACAAATTCTCTAATTTCCCTCCTCATTGCCTCCCAAAATCTGAACTAATAATTTCCCTCCCTATTCTCCACCTCAAGCCGTGAGAGAAACTTCTTTCTCTCAGGAGGAGTCTTTAAGGGAAGCAACGACCATCATCTTCAACACTTCAACCCTTCAAAACCGATAAATGGCCGATTCCGACCTTTACTCCGGATTCGTCTACAACGACATTCTCCGGTTAACATTCTTTGATGTCAACCCAGAAGTAGACAACTTCGCCGATGAATACCTGAATCGCATCATCTTCACACTATCTAAAGCAATCGAAGAACAACTTGCTAACGTTCAGTGACAAATTACTTCCGGTCCTCGACGAGGGTGAACTTCTTCCCCTTTTCAAAATATCTTCTAATCCTCTGATCTTATAGGTGGTGATTCAAGCACAAGGACTCGTGCCAAGCTCTCTGCTTTCGCTTAGTAAACGTAGTATTTGAGTTTTTAGTTTTCTATGTTCTAATCTCAATATTAACTTAGGAATTTTATTGAATAACTATTTAAATTGCATTCTGTTGAAATTCTAAATTACTTTGGTGATTCTAGTTCTTAGCATGTGATTTAGCCTAAGCGTAGCCACCCCTCTTTAGTTTTCTATCATCGTTTTATGGCTAACATTCATAATTATTAATTGCTCTTATTCAAAACGTGCAAGTTCTTATCGCATTCATCTAAATCATACTTAGTCCTGCATCATTATATCTCTTATGTCTTAAACTCCACCTTTAGACATATTACCTCCACCCATAAGTCCTAATCAATCCCTGCAAAGAGAAGCAATTAAGGAACAACAATATGCATACTCAAGGAAAAGAAAGAAAAATTAATATATGGATCAAGCAACTGTAGAGATTCATACATAGGAGAAAAATGAGGAAGTTTAAAAGGAGATAGAGTCATCAAATGGCTAGAAAGAATCGTGCACCAAGCATCCAATCGAAAACTTCTCCTATAGCAGAGTACCAGAAACTTATCAAGCCTTCCTTTCCAAGTTTGATGGTGTGTAGATTCCAACCAATATTCATGTGAGCTCCGAAAATTCGCAGCCCCGGCCTCCCTCCTTTCGAGGAGTTTTAACGAATTAAGTTATGAGATAAATTTTCAGAAGGCATATTGGGATTGTAGATAAGTCACTACCCAAAGATTTCAGCCCCATTTTGCAAGAACCTTATAATTTGAGTTATGATTTCCTATAGGTACAAGCCCCTATAGTTAATTACCCCCCCCCCCCCCCCCCCCCCCGGCGCATCTAGCAATTTCAATTAATATCAGATTCGGATTAAGGCTAGTCATCAAATGAATACATCATACCAGTAGAGACGTGAAATCCGCCATATAGTAGCACATGGGTTTGGCAGTTTAAATATTTCATATTTAAAATTTTAAAATTTCACCATCTCGCACTTAAAGCGAATGGTGGGGGAATAGATGACGGACCCGATCAAGATCCCATGGTTCTACCATCCCGGGCCATCGTGGTCCTTGGTCAACTTAGTCAGAGGAGGTAGTCGACCCAACCTGACAGAACGATCCTTATCGGCATTAATGGGTTGTGTCGTCCAAGGGTAACTCATAGACCTGGGGTGAATATTTGTCTAAGGGGACAAATTTGAATCCACCTTAGCTAACAGAGGGCTTTGTGCCCTATCGATTATATCCTATTAATTCATATCTTAAGGATTTAATTTCATAGGGGGGAAAACCGGCTTTGGCCATGACCGCAATTTAGTGGTGCTATTTGACGGCAAACCACCCGGTTCAGAGGGCCCCGGTCATAACCGTTTACCTGTGGTGCCATTTGACGGCAAAACCACCAGTTAGAAGGCACATGCCATGTCCTTGCTGACAACAGACTGTTTGAGAATGAATCATAGTGATATTCTCGAACAGAAATTAGCTCTTTGTAAACTGAAGTGATATTTGAATTTGTCCACCTTGGCAAACTGTTGTGAAGGGTGGATAAATATTTTTTTACTTTAAGCGTTTGATGGTTCATTTCAATTTTAAATATTTTGGATTTGATTTTTTTTTTGGATTTTGAGCTTTCACGGGTATTTGGATGGAATTTAAAATATTTGGAATTAACCCATCCGATTGAGATTTTTTGTCAACACGACCATCTTCGGGGTGTTAATGGAGAATTTCATCTTGTTGGTTGAACCTTGTCAACCCTGTTCATTTGCTGACAGAGGATCGGGTTTGTCGTTGGCTTTATGCTATTATTGATGAATTTTCTTTATTATAGATCTTGAAGGCCTAATATGAATAAATAGAACAAAAAATATTGGCTGATACAATGACCGTATATTCATTCATTGGTTTAAGTCGTGTCAACTCCCATCCTATCAAAGGAGAAGGATTGGACATGAACTTAAGTTCATTTCTTGACTCGCGCAACATCCTCAGACGTCACGCGTGTAAATATAACACGCTCGTGAGCGCCCATGCGGGTGTTTAGGTGGTACTTTATAATTATTTGTTGAACCTTGTTGACTCTATCTAATTATTGACAAAGAATCGGGTTTGTTGCCAGTTTGTGCTTTTATTAGTGAATTTCATTGTTGTAGGATTTGAAAGTCTAATATCAACGTATAGAACCAAATATACCAGCCGATACCGCGACCGTATATTCGTTCATTAGTTCAAGTCGTGTCAACTCCCATCCTATCAAAGGAGAAGGATTTGAATTGAACCTAAGTTTATTTCATTACCCGTGCAGCATCCTCAGACATCACGCGTGTAAATACAACATGCTCATTGGGTCCCATGCAGATGTTTGGGGGGCATTTTGTAATTATCTATTAAACCTTATCAACTCTATCTAATTTTTGATAGAGGATCGGGTTCATTATCAGCTTTGTGTTTTTCTCAATGAATTTTCTTTCTTATAGACCTTAAAGGCCTAATATGAACACAAAAAAATATCTCAGTCAACTTTATGGTTGTATATTAGTTTCAGCCGTGTCAACTCATATCTACTCGCATAGAAGGATCGGACTCAAACTTGGATTTATCAATTGACCCACACAATATTCTCAAACGTCACATGTACCCGTTTGGAGAAAATGTAGATTGTGAGAATATCGTTGACTTTAATGACCTTAAAACCCTAAATGAAATAAAGATTTTTTATTTTATCGTAGTATTAGTAAAACTGAAGTTATAGAAGCTTAAATAAAATGAAGTATGGGGAAAATGTTGGACATTATGATATTTCAATAGATTGTGGAAATGCTTAGGAGATGGTGGTGAGACCTACTGTGCTTTATGGCATAGAATGTTGGCCATTAAAAGAGAAGCATAAAATTAAGTGTTGCAGAGATATTATGCTTAGGTGGATGAGTGGCTTTACTCTTAGAGACGGAATGTGAAATGAGTATATACATGAAAAGGTTGGAGTAGCCCCAATGGACGATAAGATTAGAGAGAGTCCTCTTAGATGATTTGATCACATAAAATGTCAACCTTCCAATGACCAGATAAGGAGAGTAGATGTATTATATTTTGCCTATGTTTAAAAAGGTAGAGGTAGACCTAAAAATACTTAGAAAGTATTAGAAATGGATTTTTTTCTATTAGATTAACATAAGAATTTGACTCTTAACATAATACAATAGAGAGAAAAAAAATTCATGTACCCGACCCCACATAATGGGATAAAGGCTTCATGTTGTTGTTGTCATTGTTGTATCATACACAAACTCCTGGTGATATAAGATTTCTGTTTAAAAAAATTTACCTTGGAAAACTCCTCATCAGGAATTTGCAGTTTCTTCTGGATTCGAACCTTCACTTCAGCCAAAGTTTCTCCATCATGGAGAACAAAGAAGAAAGGCTCGCCAAAATTCTGAACTTGCTGTCAAAAGAGAAGAGGAAAGGACCTTCAGCCAACTAGATGATCCTAGTTTGTAAGCAATACATACAAAATGCACTTTAAATTGCATAAGACACTAAAAATGGGAAAAATAGGAAACTGAGCTCCAAGTAGTCTGCTTTTAAAACAATGGCATACTTCAAAAAGGACTGGACCTTAAACCTAGTTCAATCTTGATGGCAGTATGAACCAGATTTTCCTTTTTTTAAGGGAAAAAAGAAGATTAAACTCAAATAGAATCTAATCAAATTGAAGAAAAGGTTTATCCTTCCTTGAAGCCCATGACCTACACAAAAGGGCACAAAGACACCTACCAATACCACCTGCAGAAATATGCAGGTCAACAAAAAGATCTGCATATTCCTGCTATAAGCAGGATAGCAAGGACAAACAGGTACTTACCAAATGCAAATCATAGTTTCTAAATGTCAATTAGGAGATAGAAGTTGTTAAACATTATTCGACAATTTTCTAAAAGATAGATACTTAGCAGGAACTTCTGTCATATTCTCTGCTCTTTTATCAACGGAAATATCAATCTAGAGTACAAGGGAAACAAATTTATTTTCAACAGCAATCGTTATGTTTTCTACAATACTTCCAATTGCTCCCTTACCATTTGATTTTGATTCTGATCTTTCATGAAGTGGTAGACATGAATTAAACGATCTTGTGGCCCAAGATTTTTCTCTTCCTCGAGTATCTGCACAGCAGACAGAAGCTTATTACAAAACCATATTAATTTACAAAATATATGGCCAAATATCTAATGCATATAAACAAAAAAGACAACTAAAATCAAAGTATATGAACCAACCAGATCACCCTTACCTCTTCTGCACGCAGAGTCCAGTATTGATCATTTATATTTTCTATCTTCTCATTAAGCGGAAAGATCTGCAACAAGTACAAAGAATTTGAAGAACAAAAAAGGTGTCATGAAAAAGGGCAGTTGACAGAAGGAAGTAAGTAGCAGAAAACTTTAATAATGCTATTAATTATAATATTTAGCATTATTCAGATACATATCCAACTCAAGTCATAGATCAGAAATTATCGATATTGACAATATATTTCCCAGCATTATGCCATACATTATGCATGAAAATGTGTAAATATAGTAAGCATCAGTCCATGGTAGGCAAAAGGTGACAATCGGTGATGAATGTCAGGAGTTGGGCATTGACAAGGAACGGATGTTGGGCATCAGACAACAAGTTGTTCTGATACTAAAAGAGGCTATTAAATAACCAAAGAGGCAGATAAAAAGCCTAGATGGGCAAAACACCAGAGACAACGGATTGGAGGTTCCAAAAAATGGTCTCATAGAATTGAAATTCTATATAAATCTGAGACTCATCTCTATTGAAATATGTCCATAATTGATAGAAAATTAGGCCATTTATAGATTTTGGGACAAACGTTTTGACCTTTTAAATAGAAATCAATTAGATCATTGCTTTGAATCAGACAACTCAAATCAATCTCTCATTAACTTGAAAGTGAGAAGATGATCTTGCCACTAGGATAGCCTGATAGACTCCCAAGTGGTCATTAGTATCTGTTGAGAACCGATGACAATGATGTCTCTGATTGACAAGAAAATGGTATTGTTTCAAATATCTCAATGCCACGAGTTCACGAGAGTTGACATATCTAAATTCCAAGGTAAATTGGTTGTCGGTAAGGAATTCCAACACATAATTGGCAAAGAAAGCTTTTCACTCACAATCTTTCATTGACATTTCATATCAAGGGCAATAACAACAGAAAATCCTTCTCAACCTCCTATGTAATTATTGGGTGGGGGGAGGGGGCGGAATTCCATAAATGGCCCATTTTTTATGGCTCTTTTTATATGAACATGGTCAAAGGAAGGCACGAAATGTAACGGTAGACTGAGATTTACATCCACACAATCAAGTTATGTGATATTTTCTATCCATGAGGAGAGGTGTAAGCTGATAGGCCGGTTTAGTGTACAAGAGGCGGACATGCTTGGTTTGCCCCCTATGTTTGCCGCCCAAACCTAATGGACCCCATAACTCAAATGACTAATAAAAAAGGCTTGAACTTAAATAAATGAAATTGAAATAAGAGCTTGATGTAGAACGAAGGGGGGGGGGGGGATTTGAAATTTGAATTTCAAATTAAATGGAAAAAGGAGGGAAGGGGTAGTTTGATTAGAGGAACTAAGGGCTTGATTGGGGTGATATTAATGAGCTAATTAATTAAATGGGAAAGGGGGAGGGGGCCGGCCAAAGAGGGGAGAGAGGGTGTCTACTACTGTCTAGGTTCAATGTATGTGGACCCATGACTTTAATTATTGATTGGAAATCAAGTTTAAAATCTGATTTTAGATTTTATTCAAAGGAAAGAAATTTCCTAAACTGATTCATCAATTAAGAAAGTATTTAAATCCAAATAATGATTTGAATTTAATTAGGAAACTTTCCTAATCAATAAGAAACTATTTTAGGAAAGCGATTAAGAGTTTGACGTTTGAAATTTAAAATTCATGGGAAGTTGGAGGGATGGCCGAATTCACTTTCCTCATTGGGATTTACTAATTAGGATGGGATTTAATGTCCAATCCAAATCAAATTAATTTTAATTTAATTTTAGAAATTTTCTTAAAATAGGATTCTATTTTAGGAAAGGTTTCAAATTTCAAATTTGAATTAATTGAATTTAAAATTAAATGACTTTCCCAAAGAAGTTAAGCAAGAAAAGAAATTATTCAAGTGGAGATTGGAGAATTGGAGGCAAGGGAGGGGGATGGCAATTTGGCGGCTTGGCTAGGTGATGCTATCAAATATTCTGTATTTTTATATTGAACATTAGTATGTTTTTTTTATGTTCTTTTCATTTTTTAGCTATCCAATGATGGGAAAGCATCCAATGATCATGGTAGGTTGTGCTTAGGGCTTGGTAGACCTTTGGTTTGCTGACTGGATTGGTCCTTGGCTGCTGCTGGATCACGGGTTGTCTTATCGTCCACGATTTTGGAGCCTATGGTGATGTGTGGAAGAGGATGGTACTTATTTTCTTAGTTGCTAGCTCATTAATGATGAGCTGAAGTTTAGTAGCTCATTAATGTTCTAAGGTAAGCTCATAAGTTGAATTCATTATTGCAGTGGTCTTGTCCCTTCTCCTCCCCTTTCTTCTTTAAAATTTGTCCTTATCCCATGGGATTCCGAGGCTGCCTTTTGGGCTTCCTGTGCTGGTTGTTTTCCGTGCCATGGCTCCTTGGTTTCCTCGATTGGCTGCTGGTTTTCCGTGCTGGGTGGCTTTTCCGAGTCTTTTGGCGCCTCGGTTCTGTGCGGGCCTCTTTGGTTCCATGGCTGCTTCTTCGGGTCCCTGGTTGGGCTGTTTCCCGTGAAGTGTTGGGGGGATTTCCGTGGTTTGTGATGCTCGGATTCTTGTGGGAATTTAATAAATTGACTGTTTGGTTTCTCTTCTCTTGCCTATTTATAAGATGTTTTGAGATGGAATAGTAGTTGAATATTGAGAGCAAATTTGCTATAAACCTGCGGGTTCTTGGAAAAGCTTGCGAGCTTGTTCCATTCTCCTTCTCTTCTTCTAGGAAAGACTTGCGAGTTCTTTCCACCCTTCTTCTCGGCTTCTAATCTCTTTCGTCTCTCCGCAAGTTCCACTCCATCTGTATCCTTCTTCTTGAGCTTTAGTGATGTTTGTTGGCTGATTTGGGAGCATTTGTTGGACGAGTTTGGATCGTACAATTGGACTATCTTGCAATGGTGGACCATCGGTTTGCTAGCCCTAAGCACTTATTTTACTTAACATACATTTCGATGAATGTGAGGAACCCGCTCTGACGGTTGTCTGAGGATAGCGTTGTTTTATTTTTCTTTGTTTCTTTGAATTCTCTTCTAGTTTTCTTCGACGGATCTTGGATGTCATAGATGATTGCTACTATTTGAATCAAGTTTGGTTTAGTTTCGCCCTTTGTCTCCTTGTTTGTTTTTTTTTATCTACTGTGCTTACATCACTAGGGGTGGTGGAGATGTGGTGGTATGTTAAGGTTGGTGGGTGTGGGAGGATTAGGTGGTCGACGGTAAGGAATTTGGTGACGCATTAGGCCGGCGGCTTGGGGTGGAGAGAGGGGAGGAGGAGAAAAAGGTTTTAGGGAAAGAAAGATACAACCGTGAGTCCGGACACATCCTGCAGTTGACGGATAATACATTGCCCTTCTCCAAGAGACTTCACGCCACGAGCCCGGACCCATCTTGCGGCTGGTGGAAACTCCACTTCCCTCCCATAGGAATCTCACCCAAGTTCTCTCCAAAGAACACAAGTGCAAACAAAATTTCTTTTCTTAATAATTCATCCTTCCATTACAAAAGCAATGGCCTCTATATATAAGCCTAAGAAACTAAAAAAAGACACATATGCCCCTAGGACTAACATAGGATGACCCTCTTAAGGGTAAAAATGGAAAATTCATAATAAAAATAAAAATTATAAATAACAAATTAAGATAAGGTGGAATGGTCTTGGCCATCGATCGTCGTCTCCTCCTCTAGAACCATAATTTGAATGAACATAAAGAACTTGAATTCAAATGAACTTGGTACAAGGAGTTTTGACTTGAACTTGAACAATACAAAGGACCTGATTTGGACTCAAGTGAACTTGCATGATTTGAACTCAAGCAAGGATTTGATTCATAACCATAGTAGACACGAACTCGAGCTGAACTCATGTCTATGAACTTGAACTAAAATGAACTTGAATGAATTAAACCCGAACTTGAACGAAATGCAAAATAATAACAAGGACTTGTGAACTTAGACTCGAATGAGCAAGTTTTAGAAATGAACAAGACTACTTGGATTTGAACTTGAATGTGTCATACTTAGACTTGAGCTCAAAAGAATAATGCAATGAGTATGAACCTAATTCGAACTTTAACCTAACATGAGTTTGAATATAATTGAAATGAATGAGTTGTAAAGAGTTTCAATTTAACAATAACGCAATATCGTCAATAGAATATTGAGAAATTGTCACCTCAATTGAGATGTAAATGAACACATAAATAAAACTCATGAACAAGAGGGTTTACAGTATGACAATATATTCATTGCTACCACAAAGAACTTTCAATCGGCACATGAGTAACATGATAATTGTAGTGCCTACATTAGTTGGTCCACAAGTTCATGTAAAGGAGCTTAATGTTGTTAATGAAACAAGCTCCTAATGAGAAGAGCCACTGTTAGAGATGATGAAGAATTTGCAAATACAATCTGCTCACAAACAACAGTCTCTTGCCAACATGTTCATTGTAATATACAATGAATATCAGGACATTCCTACGATCAGCAATAATCCAATGCTAAGAAAACACACAACCCCATTTGCAAATCGAGTGGTGATCAATTGGTGATAGACACAAGTTTCTACAAGCTGCCATAAGAGACTCACTCTACGCACTATATAGCAGTTGAAGGTAGAAATGAAAGAGAGGCAATATACAACATCTTGCCTACGAGTGGAAGGAAGAATTTGTTGTGGCTACCAAAAATATATAAGGAACATCAAAATGTTTCTCCAATCAATGATGGCCCATTCATAGTTGAATGTAGTTAGTTCCCTATAAACATTAGAAGGCTACATATAACAAGTGTAAAGGGCATATGTTGATAACGTTAATGTTTTGTGGACAATATCAAAATAAAGGCAAATGTGTTCAGCCCCTACAAATCAGTGTAAGAGATCTCTCCATACATACAAGTGACAGAACTCCAAATGCACAAAATGACTTATCCATGAGTGGTGTGTGATAGGTGTTGAGTTTTGTAATTAGGTTGTTAAGCCTAAGTGAATGTCCCAAGGCTACCAAGAGGGGGGTGAATTGGTAGTTTAAAAAACAAAGTTAAAATTTAAGACCCCTTTTTGAAAATTATTGAACCGAAATAAAATCTCTTTTAAATTTTGTAGAAAAAGGTTTTTCAACCACAGAGTTTTTAAAACTGAAATAGAAAGTGCGGAAACAAAAAAAGTAAAGTAAATGACACCAGATTTATAGTGGTTCGGTCTATAACCAGACCTACATCCACTCCCCAGAGGCACCCTCTGAGTATTGCACTAATACCAATAGTGACTCTCCTTTTGCACCCACAGCAAGGTGGAGAAATCTTTACAACACACTCTTTTCACCACTCCTCGGTGCGGCAGAGAACCGTCCGTCCTTTTACACAATTCTAAGTGTTGGCAGAGAACCGTCTGTCCTTTCACACTATCCCCAGTGTTGGCAGAGAACCGTACGTCCTTTCACACTCTCCTAGTGTGGGCAGAGAACCCTTCCGTCCTTTCACACTCTCCTAGTGTGGGCAGAGAACCCTTCCGTCCTTTCACACTCTCCTAGTGTGGGCAGAGAACCCTTCCATCCTTTCACACTCTCCTAGTGTGGGCAGAGAACCCTTCCGTCCTTTCACACTCTCCTAGTGTGGGCAGAGAACCCTTCCGTCCTTTCACACTCTCCTAGTGTCGGCAGATTCTAAGTCGGTGTATCGTTTGGACGAAAATTTTATTCGTCTGGACGAAATTTTTACAGAGGACCGATCGTCCTGGACGATAATTTATTTCGTCTGGACGAAAATTTTCCAGAGAGCCAATCGCCACGGACGATAATTTAATTTCGTCTGGACGAAAATTTTCCAGAGACCCGATCGTCCTGGACGATATTTAATTTCGTCTGGACGAAAATTTTCCAGAGGACCGGTCGCCACGGACGATAATTTAATTTCGTTTGGACGAAAATTTTCCAGAGAGCCAATCGTCCTGGACGATAATTTATTTCGTCCTGGACGAATAGGACTTAGAAAAAAATTTCGAGCAAGTTCCTATTCGTTCCATATGCTCTATAGGAGATAACTGTCTGATCGTCCAGTACGAACTGGAAATCGTCCTGTACGATCAGTATAAATTTATATGATCTCCTTATGTGTGTGTATGTTTTTATTCACTCAAAATACAATCACTCCCTTTCAATTTGATTTCTAAGAAAAGTGCAAGCTTCAAATTATACAAAATATCGCATGCTGATTTTAATTTGAAGTCTTCGTAGTCTGGAGTTTGTTTTTCCTGAAATGTCAGTACACACAAGAGCAAATACAATTCTTCTAAAAAATGTTAGGAGATAACTACACATTTGAACAATAATGTTTGGAATCATCAAAACTTCATAAGTTGCAAAAATGTAAAGCATGCAAATAGCAACTATCTTAACAATAGGCTTGTTAGTAAAGTTTAGAGATCTAACAGCGGCTCTATAACGGATATGGTGAGCACGGAAGTCTACAATAGTTGTTCACACCGCCTGCGATGATGTTATAGCATGTATACATGTTTATCCCTTACAAGTGCAAAGGTAAGATATACAATATACATGACAACTCAATATACACAATGAAGCTTGAAGTGTATGCAAGAAGTCTGTCACAAATGTAATAACATACTTACAAGTGCTGGGCGTCGGCAGATAGTTAATGTTATAGTATTTTAGAGCCAACACGGATCAACTTATGCGTAACTAGAACAATCTTCAACAAACACTGGAAGATACACAAGTAAATGCAGTGGTTCATCAATCAACATATACAGGAAAATTAAGAGCAAATACAGACACCTATGAGCAGTAAAGGTCCATCATACATAATAAATACTTCCTCGTAGCAGATAAGAAGATCAGCAACACATACGAGTGCTCTAGGAATACAGGTGTATGCACTACCTCTCACCTATAGTAGCGGATGTACCGCAAGGATCAAAGACCACAGCAAAATGCACAAGGAATGCAATAAATGCAAATACCTATGGGTCATCGCAGAAGACACATCGTAGGAGACCTACAACGCATCAAGTGCTATATACGAACAAATATTGAAGCACTACGACATACGCAAATTCCTACGAGCTGTTGTAGAAGACCCGTCAAATGTCCAAAATCCCCCTGCACATGCACTGTAATATGTATACACATAGGCACACAAAAAGGGGGAAGTGTAATCATAAAACCTGCATGGGCCCCGGCGAGCGTGTTGCAGGAACACACGTGACGTCTAAGGATGCTGCGCGGATCAGTAAATAAACCCAAGTTCGAGCATAATCCTTCTATGCAGGTAGATATGAGTCGACATGGCTCAAACCATTAAATAAATATGCGGTCGTGAGGTCGACCGAGATATTTATTTTATACATTTATATTAGGCCTTAAAGGCCTTCAATAAAAAAAACTCATTCACAAAAGTATAAAGCCTATGAAACCTGATCCTCTGTCGACAACTTGATATAGTCGACAAGTTTTATCCATAAAATGCAAATATTTTCAAATGCAAGTGACCCCAAACACTCCTTGTTGAATGCAAATCTCAACCGGAGGGGTTAATTCTAAAAATTTCAAATGCCATCCCAAATACCATAAAATCCAAAAATTTCAAAAAAAAAATGTAAACCAAAATCTCAAAATCATCCAAGTCCAGAATATTTAAAGTTAAAACGATCCATCAAATCACTTAAAGCAAAGCTCATCCACCCTCGGCAAAAGTTTGCCAGGGTGGACAAATTGAAGTTTACTTCAACTCACATAGAACTAATCCCTGGTCAAAAATATCACTAGGATATATTCTCAAATAATCCCCTGCCAATAAAGACGTGGTACGTGTCCTCTAACCGGCAGTTTTACCGCCAAATTACACGGCAGGATAAATAATTATGACTCGAAGCCCTCTGAACCGAGTGGTTTTGCCGTCAAATGGAACCACAAGATAGCAGTTATGGTAAGAGCCAATACGTTCCTTAGCGGCATCAAATCCTTGAGATATGAATCGATAGGATATGATCGATAGGGCACGGGTACAAAGTCCTCTGTTAGCTAAGATGGATTCAAATTTGTCCCCTTAGACAAACATCCACCCCAGGTCTACAAGGTCCCCTTGGACGAAACAACCCATGGGTGCTGACAAGGATCATTTTGTCGGGTTGGGTCGACTACCTCCTCTGACTAAGTATACTAAGGACCATGATGTCCTGGGACGACGGAACCATGAGATCTTGATCGGGTCTATCATCCATTCCTCCACCATCCGCTTTAAGTGCTAGATGGTAAAATTCCCAATTTTAAATATCAATTTTTCGATACCTAAGCCTAATACTACTACTATATGCCAGATAACACGTATCTTTAAATATTTGATTGACGACTAGCCTTAATCGAAAGTTTTCTCTTGTTATCGGGAGGAATAATTAACTATAGGGGCTTGCGCCTATAGGAAACCAGAACTCAGATCATAATGTCCTCGCAAAATGAGGGTGAAATCTCTGGGTAGTGTCTTATCTACAAACTCATGTGCCTTCCCAAAATTTACCCCGGAACTTAATCCGTTAACACTCCCTCGATAAAACCAACGGGCGGAGGCCGGTGCCGAATTTTCGGAGCCCACACCTCCCAAAAAGAAAAGAGTATTTTGTGATGAAACATTTTCCTAGCAACTTCAACACCTCAAAGGACCATGTCCTCAATTAAGATAGGAATGGCATTATCCTCATATTGAAGTGATGGGTAATTCTTTGGAATTAAGAGTTTCCGTAGAGCATGCCTATCTCTCCCTTTTTTTAGAGGAGTTCTAAGTCATAGCACAATATATATGTGATCAGAGCATGTATGGTCCCAATTTTAATTTTTCAAGTTTATGAATTAAAATTTTGACCATTTTTGTGTTTGAAAATTCCGCCAAATTCCATATGTGATCAAATGATGGAATATGAATCATATCAAGTAAGAAAATTAAATTTCTAGTTGGGATAGATATCACAAATAAATTTCCCTGACGCCAAATCACCACTTGAAGCACTGTTAGCAGCAGCTGGACTTCAGGCAACACAGAATACTGAAATACACTTAGGCTTCGTTTGGGATGGCTTTCTTACTACTTAAAGCTGCTTTCTAGCATAAAAACTAAAAAGTTGTTTTAAAAAGCAATAAGAAAGCCGTCCCAAATGAAACCTTAATATAGGAATTCACAGCAGATCATAGAAGAAGATAACTGGGCGTATTCCTAACATACACCATAATCATTCTCACCCAGTAAAAACCGAGAAACTATCTAAAGCACAATCCAAAAGTTCAATAAGGATGGTAATTCAGTAGTCAAACTAGAGCACAGGAGAAAGCGGCCCATGCAGGTACCCTTTTATTTTCCACCCCGGACTATATAACTACATATCAGAGAACAATTTCAACTGATTTATAGCAATATCAAATACTGTAAAGATATTCCACGTTGTCAAGCATAATCTAGTCTTAACATACATGCAGAGAAAGGCTATGCACTTGCATAATAAAAAAAAATAATAGAACAAAGGACTTGCGGCAGAATCAAGTATGCTACCTTGTAGATCTTGTGATAAAAGACCTCCAGTAACCGGAGTTCAGCATTGGGATGAGATAATTCAACCTACACCAAGATTAAAACAGAAAAAATTTAAAGGGGAACACAGTTGCTAGCATGGACAAATAGTTGGCCTTTAAAATCTGAATAATGTTGCAGCAAAAAAAGATTTCTCAACTCCTTTCAAATATGATCTGAATCATATATTAAGGAATCAAATAAGACACATTCCTGTTCCAGTTCAAGAATATACTTCTAGAGTAATTTTGCAGAAAAAGCTTGAAAGATTCACCTTAGTTTTGAGGTCATTGATAACATCAGCGACAACGCTGTTTTTGGGCAGTCTAACACTATGAACTACGATCTAAAAAATGAGGCAAAAATGTCATAAGAATCACCAAAAATTTTAGAAAAGAAACAAAAACAGTAAGGGACCAAAAATCACACTTCATCTTTTGTGGCAACGTGGAATGCAACTTTAAGAGTTTTCAACCCTTGTAATTCAGGCAGAGGAATGTCCAGAACTTCGTAATATAGTATGTCAGAAATCTACATCAAAGAATAAATAAATAAATAAATCATCAAAACCTTGAAAATTTTAATGAAGTAAAAAACAAGTACAACCTGATTATAATGGACCAACATGTCTAACAGGTGCTCTACACCGCGATACTTGATCGGCTGGGGTTTTGGCTGCTGAGAATAGCAATTATGGGATGTAAGACGAATTTTTGATGCATCATCCAAACCAAGATGACGAGCAACTCTTTCAACGACATCATCATATGTATAAGACTTTGACCTTTCAAGCAAGTAAAAAAAAGAATCAGGGAATGAATTAATAAAATAAACAAGAAATTAGTGCTTGATATGATTTACAGATTTCAAAAACTAACAGTTCTAAGTAAAAATCATCCTCTTTTGGCTTCTCCAGTGATCTGAAATGAACAACCTAAAACATAATTGGGAAATAAAAATAGTATCAGTTTAACCATTGGGGTGAACCAATAAATATAATATACAAGATAAGGTATTCAATGATTTGTTTCTCATGACGCAAGACATTATAGATTTTATAACACAATGGCGCAAATGAAAACAAAATGTTTGAGGTAAAATTTACTTGGCACATCCAATGGAAGAAAAGAGTAACTTGAAAACAGATACAAAATACAACCTCGACCGACTAAGCTTTATTTTCCATCATTTGTTTAACAGCACAAACAACACTCAACACTGCTCTTTTGACACGATTCATTAGTCCAAAATTCATAGTCTGCCGATTAATAAAGCTAATCCCAAATTGCGACTTTTCAATGTACTCTTTTTATTGTATTCCAAATTGAAGTCATGTTTAAATATTAATTAAATATAATGAGGTTTGTTTCAGACCAAGATCCGAAGTAAAACAAAACCTTCTGCCCAAATTACATGCTATACAATTGATAAATGATGCTCATAATGGAAGAAAAAGTACTGTCATCTTATCATCATATCACTGTCATCAAATATATCCCAACTATTTTTGTAGTTGGCCTTCTATGCTATTCAATTGAGTGCAACAAGAGGTATTATTTCAGTTTATGCAGGTATTTTCTCAACACCTACAACCATATTAAATTAAATATCAAATTTTCTATCTTATTCCTTCACATTAGTTTGATCAACTTGCCTTACTAGTGCATCATTTTTCCTTGTGATACATACAAAAACATTAAAAAAAGGTTCCCACTAATTTTCATGGAGTTGAGCTAGATAATTGAGGAGAAGATGTCAACATTATATGTTCCATATAGTTGTGAACCTAACAACCAGCCGAATTTTGCACCAATATATCAAACCACCAAAATGAGATTTGACAATGACCACGCATAAGCATGCAATTGTATTTTAACCCCAAAAGAAGGAACAAATAATTTCGTGAATGAAGACCGAGTAAAGCACTCATCTCAAAATTCACTATAAGTTTTTAAAGAGGACTCTATGGTGCTTCTGAAGATGCCTTGGGAATAGATACAAATGATATAGACAAGGCAAACATATGAAAGGAAGAAGATAAATGATTAGACAATATATAAGAATGAGTAGGATCAACAATACATTGCATTTTACTATTTCATAAATTGATAAATATAGATCAGATAGTTCATTAGCAAGTGGATGCTTAGTTGAACCTTCCAATTTGAATAGAAAGGTTGGAGTAGAGGGTAGTAGAGATCGTTGAAAGTAAATCTTTAGAGGGGTGAAGGTAGGTATAAGAGTTTTTGCAGGAAGAGGAATATGTGAATATATCTCAAAGAAAGAAGAAGAAATGAAAATTGTGATCATAAGAACTAACATTGATTAAAATGTATGTGTCAATCAAAAGAATCATAACATCCATACACTTTGTGAGTGTCAGAATATCTGGGAAATATACATTGAATGAAACTAATAAAAAATATTTATTACAAGCAAAACAAACATGAACAAAATAGATGTAAGAGAAAAAAGTAGATCTACCTAGATATAGAGTGCAAATTGTGGGCTCCGAAAATTCGCGCCCCGACCTCCCCTGTTGCTTTCGGGGGGAGTTTTAATGGATTAAGTTCCGGGGTAAATTTTGGGAAGGCATATGAGTTTGTAGATAAACACTACCCAGAGATTTCGCCCTCATTTTGCGAGGACTTTATGATCTGAGTTCTGGTTTCCTATAGGCGCAAACCTCTATAGGTAATTACCCCTCTCGATAACGAGAGAGAACTTTTCATTAAGGCTAGTCGTCAATCAGATACGTAGAAAATACATGTTATATGACATATAGTAGCAGCATGGGTTTAGGCATAGGAAAACTGATACTTAAAATTGAAAATTTCACCATCTTGCACTTAAAGAGGATAGTGGTGGGGGAATGGATGATGAACTCGATCAAGATCCCATGGTTCCATCGTTCCAGATCATCATGGTCCCTGGTCTACTTACTCAGAGGAGGTAGTCGACCCAAGCTGACACAAGGATCCTTGTAGGCAGCCATTTTGCTTCGTCTAAGGGTACCTTATAAACCTGGATGGATGTTTATCTAAGGGGACAAATTTGAATCTACCTTAGCTAACAGAGGGTTGTGTGCCCTATCGATTATATGCTATTGATTCATATCTCAAGAATTTAGTGTTATTGGGGAGCATATGAGCTCTAGCCAGGACCGTAATTTAGCGGTGTCATTTGGCGACAAACCACCCAGTTTAGAGGGCCCTGATCATAACTATTTACCTGCAGCGTCATTTGGCGGCAAAATCGCCAATTAGAGGACACGTCTCACGACCTTGCTGGCAAGAGATGGTTTAACAATGAATCCCAGTTATATTCTCGACCAGACAATAATTTTTTGTGAGCTAAAGTTATTTTCAAATTTATCCACCTCGACAAACTGTTACGAAGGATGGATGGATTTTTCTTTAAGCATTTCGATGGTTTATCTCAATTTTAAATATTTGGAATTTTGGAATTTTATGGGCATTTGGGTGGCACTTTGGATATTTGAAATTGACCCATTCGATTGAGATTTTCTGTCAGGACAGTCATCATCGGGGTATATGGGGTCACTTGGGTAGCATTTCTTTGAAAATTAACACCTTCGATTGAGATTTACGTTCAACACGGCCATTATCAGGATATATGAAATCACTTGGGTGGCATCTCTTTGGATGTTTGAAATTAAACCCTCCGATTTATATCTACGTTCAACACGGCCATCAACAGGGTATATGGGGTCATTTGTATTTTTATTGACTGAACCCTGCCAACTCTGTTAGACGCCGACAAAGGATCGGGTTCAAGTCAGTTGTATACTTTTGTTCGTGAATTTTTTTTGTAATAGACCGTGAATGTCTAATATGAATGTTTAAAACAAACATCTTGGTTAACGACGTGATCGTATATTTGTTTAATAATTTGAGTCGTGTCGACCTCTATCTACCCTCATAGAAGGGTCGGGTTCAAACTTGGGTTTATTATCTGAACCGCGCAACATTCCTAGATGTCATGTATGTGCCCATAACACGCTCGTCGGGACTCATGCAAGTGTATACTCTTGTATATGCATTTATTCGTGTTTGTGTGTATACATGTTAAGGTGCATGAGTGGGGGATTTTGGAATATTTTAGTTTTCTCGGTTGTGCGGGCAAATATCATTTGAATGCAGCATTTAATTTAGGGGTTTATGCAGGCCTTCTATCCGTTTATATGAGTGTTGTAGATCCAGTGGCGTGGCGTCGTATTGTGATTATTTGCTCATTTTGTATAGGTAAACTGTTGTGCACAACTTGTCATTTTCTCCAAGTAGATTATTGTGCACTAACGAATCTCCTGCTTCACCTCATAGTAGCTTGCACTTGTTGTAGTTCTATTACATTTGCCTGTGGACAACATATTGGATGTATAATGGGTCTTTGAAAATTTGTATTTGCTATGTATCCTCTTCTTTTGCTGGTAGAGGATCAGTGTGTTTGTCTGTGACTGAACAATATTAATTGCATGAGAGATGTATTCTTTTCGAACAATTCAAAGATGTCATGTCTTTCAGTTCATCGCATGTTGAATTCCCCCTGCTTGTTCCCAGGTATATGCATTTATCACTACTCTTCTATATTCGTGTATAGTAGTTTCTCACAGCAACTCATAGGCACTTGCATTCACTGTAGTCATTTGTCCTTTTGGTTCGTAAATGACATTTTACATATATAACGGGTGTCCTACAACGCTGCAAACATTTGCATTTATTGTCGAGATGGTTGTTGATCGATCCCCTTTTGCTTACAAGGGATCTGTATATTTGTCTTCCCCTTGATGGTTGTTGACTATAGGAGCATTACAGCATTCTCTACTTGATACTGATCACCACCCGTAAGTTATTATTTGTTGGAGAATTTTTGTATCCTCAAACGGATTGCATATTTTATTATCGAGCACGGCATAAGAATGATGATATATTACCCCGAAGGGTAAAAATATCATTTCCTTATGGACTCAACTAAAAAATTTACAATTATTTAACAGAGATTCCCCCACTCAATGTTTGATTGAGTAGGGTTTATTTATTTCTGGGGTACAGACATCCCATAGGGGCAAGCTCCTATGGTTAATTACATCCCAAGTTTTGTCTTGGGAATACTTTTGATTAAACTAGTAGTTTTCTTTCTTTGGAAGTCATTTAAATATTGGTTAAAATTGATTTTTGTTGTTTTAAAATTCATGAAAGTCTTGCTTAAAGGTTTGGCCTTTAGGAATTTAAAGGAAGAGGTTTGATCAACTTAGAATCAGATTTTTGGAGTGAAGTCCAAGAGAAGGTGAAGTAGGAGCACTTGATTCTGAGGGAAACTCAGAGGTGCTCGGACTATCCTATGTTGGGCTTTACATTTTTTAATCTAAATTTGGTTTAAGTTAAAATTTTATTAGAAGATTGGGGCTTACATCCCAACAACACTTGTTGGAGGAATTGCCCGAAGGATGAGGGCTTATAGGGTGATTTGGAATCAACCCGTGCCTCTGACCCTAGGACTACCGATAGGTAGTGCCTCGAACCTAGATCTAACGAGTGCAAAGAGGGACTTACAAGCTACACCTCACAAGAGGTCATAACCCGCCCGACCCCTGGATTTATTGTCCCGCCTGAAAGGGACTACCAGCTAAACTCCCCCTAATCGCTTTTAAAACCATGTTATTTGGTCTCAATGCAAATGTAGAGTGGTAGGGTTGTTTTTATTTAGAAAGTAAGTCTTATAGCTTGGCTTTGAGGCCAAGATGCCTTAGCATGTAGGTATGCAAATGCTGACTCACAAAGAAAATGACTTTTGTTATCTAATCCTTATATGGAGGCATTCTATATGCAACATGCTTGGGCTATACATGATTATTTTCAATTTTGAAAACTTGGCTCCTTGAAGGGGGCCATGCAATTTTTCTTACTTGAAAGACATGGAGCCTAATTCGATTTTATTTTTAGATTGCTTACATGTTAAGGGGTAGAAAACTTAGTTTTTATCCTAAGAGCCTAACGTGATCAAGTCCAGGCCACACCCACAAAAACAAGAGAAGAAACCTAGGAAAGACATGCATTTCTATTGCGCACCCAATAAACACTTCAACACATGCTTTTGTATATAAAGATAGAAATGTAAATAATGTCCCAGTTATTACAAACATGTTTGGCAGCTGAGTTGCCTGCCATTATACAACCCAGTTATATTTACAGACTCTACTTGTGGGGGTCTTCAAGCTTTAACCTTCAAAATTGTACATTCTTCTTCAATCCTCCCATCTTTTCAATCAAACCCAACAAGTTTTACATCCTAGATCTAATCAAATACATGATATGAAATAGAAAAAGACTCAAATCTGCATAACAAAGTTAGGAGGTAGTTTATATAATTAAGCATGTAATCATCTCAAAATTGGCCTAACACTTAGAGTGCTAAGTGTTAGGCCCCTGCTTCTACCCTATTGGCCATGTCTCCTTGAGGGTTTTAAGCAGCGCCTGCAAGCAAACAGCATTAATAAAATCATGACATTTACCCCCTTCTTGGACATGACTTTTGAGTTGTAGAAAGGAAGGAACTTCTCTACAATTTTGACTCGTAGGAAAGAATGGAGAAATGCAAATTTTAGACATTGCAAATCAATGAAAATTCTTTGAACATTTGTTGTCCAAAGAAGGAAATGCACTCTCCTAGCTTGGGCTCAGGAGAACGAGGGATTTATACGAGGATATCCTGTTTAACAACATATAAATTGGAGACAACACACTATAATACTAGCTTATTTCCCAAGAAAATCAAAGCTTTAGATACAAATTAATCGCTTAGTCAAATCCCAGCCCTCATAATCAGGAAGTAAAACATAATAGTACTAAGTTGTGTTCTTTAATTACTTAACCCTTTCCATATTTATCCAATCTCACCTCTCAACCCTAATGAAATAAATAAATAAATAACCACACTGATTTGGCCCCTTTCTTCCTTTTTTTTCTTCAAACCGATTCAGTCACTAGAAAATTACGAACCAAAACTATTCCTCCACCACATAAAAAGAAACAATATAACAAAAATTATATGATTAATATTTAGCAATTAAAACAGTTCAACAAGTAGAATTATATTGCACAACAGCAACAGATAGTGTACAGTTAGACAAGATAAAAGCAGAAATAACATTGCACATAGTAACATATGATAATAATAGCAGACATGTAGTCAACATTATTAAGGAAATTGTTCAAATAGTAGAATAAATCTAGGTTACGAGTATCTGTGCATTGTAAACATCAATTGTTTTGTTCAAAAATAGTTGCTAAACTAAGATTAAGATATTAAAATAACAGCATTTTCATGGAGGCAAGCAGCAATTAATCAAGTTCAACTAAGCCTCTTGAGATTTTCTAGATCACTAGAAATCAAGTGAACCATCCTCCAGTTGAATTTTCTCAGGTCAACATAAAAGTATATGATGAAGCCTAATGCACTAGCCCAAGGTTCTTCAAAACATAACAACCGATTCCCAACATACATGCTTTTTCAAACTAAGAAAACAACTGAAATATTTTTGGCCAATGATGGGTCTTAAAGTCATTAGGATTACTTTGAGAAGAGATCAATAAATGTGAAATCAATCAAAATTTATATTGCACTCATCTTAAAGCAAATATAATGGCTTTGAGATCCATCCTCACCAAAATTTGGTCAGGATATCCTGAATTTATTTAAAAATATCCTCAAAATTAGTTTATCCCCACTATTGGGTGTCATCCTCACAAATCTTTCTAGCTACTCTATCCTACACATTGCAATATGTGGATTGTGGTGTATGGAGAAACAGAAATTATGAAATAAAAACAGTACCTACATGGCTTAAGCTTTTCCATTCATCAAGATAAATATTTTGAATGTAGTGTGATCAGAAAAAATCAGTAAATTTAAAATGCTACAAAATTATGTGGGATTATCATCACAAACAACGTCAAATTCAGCATTTTAAGATTCGATATTGCACTTCAGAGAATGCTTCCAATAACTGAGAACAAGTAGAAAAAGGCAGAAAGGAGACTGGAGACATGCAGTCCCATCATAAGAAGTTGCAACCAACAATACCTGCCGACTAAGAACATATCGCAAAAAGGATGGGATATCCGGATAGCGACACTGATCATCGTTGTCACGCCGACATTTCTGATAACAAACTATATCACCATCCTCAAGCTGTAAATTAAGGGGAAAAAACAATTAAAGTGGCATATTTTGCTAAAGAAATATTTATGCCGAAAACATCCTTCAAACTTTAAACCTGGCTGGATTTAAAATTGAGCTTCTTGTCAATGCGCTCACACATAACGGTTGGTTCAAACTTTATTTCCTGAACACTTCAACCAAAAAACAATCACAGACAAGCATATAGAAAAAAAATCGTATAATATTGCTAGTAAATAGGTGCGAAATGACGAACACATTTTCTTTAAATGAATATTTAATGATAGCCTGACCTCGTACAATTCAATTTCTTCATTTGGTGAAAAACCAGCCATTTCATTGAGTTTTGTTAGAATTTCAGCAGGTTTCCCAAGTGCTTTGACAAAGAGCCGACCCATGTACCTGAGTTTATAAATGAAAAATCATCAGTAAAAATAATCATATCAAGACATACACAAAAACAAATATGCAATTACCTTAGCTCTTCCTTCACAGGGTCGTAAAGCTTGAAAAAAAGTAATATGTCTTCCTTAGTCTTGTCAGGAAGAGGAACAGGACGTGAGTCCTGAATAATCAGAACAAATAAAGGATTGAGTAAATTAGATAAGCACGCACCATGCCCAAAAGCAAGTATAGAGTAAAATTACCAAAAAAAAAAAACATCAGATGGTGGTAGGAGAAATAAAGAAAAATGTGGAAATAATTTACGAATTAATTTTATGCAAATTGATGGATGTTTACTCACAACAAGCTCCAATTCCAAAAATAGGCGAAGTTCAGCAGTCTGTCCTTTAGTTGACACCTCCCTCAATTGTCCAACCTACATAGAGAGGTGAGAATCAAAATTAGTTCCACTTGCTAACTGGAAATTCACGAGGCCAACAAGGCTAGTCAAAGTCTAACAGAACATCAATCTAACAATAGACACTAATAGATAACACAAATATGAATGGACTACACAGAACTGAAGCTTACGATTGAAATATATAAACACATCACTTCCACGAAGTCCAGTTCAGACAAGGTAAAACAATTGTGGTATATACTACACTCAGATTTTTCAACCCACATCTGACTGAAAACTATAAGGAGCAACTTCCTCATCAGGCTTGTGAGTGTGTGGTGGAGGATCTAGGTGGGATTGAAGAGAGTATGGCATCAGACAAACATTAGTAATAGATGGAGCCTAAGCAGCTCTCCATCAGCCCAAAGTTTGTTCTGCGCCCAAAAAATAAATAAATGCTCTTTTGCTAAAACTCATCTAACAAATACTTACAGATTGTGCTTCTTCTATCAAGGTTAAAGGTCTATTGGGGCGGTATGTATGGTTTTGCCTCTTGGCCCATAGCCAAAAACGCTGGAATTGTACTGGAATTCCCAATTCTTTGGCTACCTCCTCCTGCATGTTATAAAAAATATAAATAATTGAAATACAACCAATGGTAAGCGCAAAAGCTATGCAAAATAGCCAAAATTATAGACATAATTAAGAGCTATACCACAACTGAATGGTAAATCCAGGCAACACTAGCTAGAGTAATAGAATAATTATTAAAAGAGAAAATCAAAGGTCCAAATTTAAGCACTAAGGTTTCACCGGGTTACATTTTGTGTTGTGTTCAACAAATAAAGTCACCACTATTCTTGCAAAAATTGACAAACAGTTCTACAAGTACATTTTCTATGGATGAGAAGTCATGGAGGGGCATATGCATAAGATAAATTCTCCCTTGAGAGTTTTCCACTTAAATCAAAATTATAATTTAGCAGTTATTGCACTATGCCGTTCAAATGCAGTGCTAAATGAAGCCTAAGCATTATTATAGAAAGGGTATCCGGTGAAACACTAAAACCCAAACGATATGAGAATCATTTCCTTCCTTTATTTTTTTTTGTTCTTCTTTTAACATAGAACACATATTTCAACCACCTGAATGACTGAGCCATAACTGCACTTTCCAACTGGGTTCAAATCTCCTAAAAAGATTTTGTTAGTGGACCCAGAAATAAAAGAACAAAGCAATAAAGGACATCAATTACAAAAGTAAAATGTAAATGTAAGCACCAAGCATTACAAGAACATTGAGCGAAAGCATTAAAAAATGATAATTTGCCCCCTGTTTTACCATGTATACTAGAGGTAATCGTCTTTCCTTTCAAAGAAATCAAGAATAAAATATCATTAAGAATATCAATTTCACCACGATGGAACAGGAACAATTTATCAATTTCATCGTCTTGCCATTCACCCAAGTTCTAGATGAGAAAAGTAGAGAGTTGCGTTAGGTAGTCGACAACCAGCGTAAAACTTGTCGAATAATAATGACATGAATCCTTTAAGAAATTGTGTTAATGTTAGGGCATCCCCTGGAAGCGACGCATTGTATGGCCTGAATACAGTGACAAATGTGCAAGGGCCGCTGCACCGGCGCCCGGGTGCAATGTTAAATAGTCAAAGGTTCCCACATCAAGGACGGATGTGGGCAAAGAAGCTAGTCCATGAAATTAAAATTAGGATAGGAACTTGGAATATAGGTTCCCTTACTGAAAATTAATGGAATTAATAGATATTATGATTCATAGGAAGATAAATATTTTGTGCATTCAGGAAACTAAATAGGTTGGAGAGAAGGCTAAGAAAATTGATAGTTTAGGATTTAAACTTTGGTATTCGGGTAGGAGTCGTACTAGAAATGGTGTAGGTGTTATTATAGATAAGAGTTTGAAGGATAATGTTATAAAATTTAATAGGATTTGAGATAAAATTATAGCTTTAAATATTGTTGTTGATGATAATATTGTTAATATTATAAGTGCTTATGCTCCTCAAGTAGGTTTGGATATGAGTTCTAAATTAAATTTTTGGAATGACTTATAAGAATTATTATAAAAGATACCTCTAGAAGAAAGTTTTTATTGGAGGAGATTTAAATGGACATGTTGATAGAGATGTAGATGATTTTAAAAGTATTCATGGTGGCTATAATTTTGGAACAACAAATGAAGGTGACAATACCATTTTAGATTTTTGTTTAGCTTATGATTTCTCAATTGCTAATACCTTATTTAAGAAAAGGAATGAGCATCTCATCACTTATAAAAATGGATATAGTACAACCCAGATTGACTATTTTCTTATAAGAAAATTAGATCGGTTAGATTCCAAAGATTGTAAAGTTATTCCAAGTGAAAATTTATGTACCCAACATCGATTATTAGTTTTTGACTTTAAGATAAAGGGGGCAGATAATAAAAAATAAAGTAAAACGATATTCTAGGATTAGATGGGGCATTTAAAGAATATTAACAAAAATATTTTTGAGAGTAAGATTTTAGATCTTAAGATTTTATCTGTGCATGAGGATGCTAATATTATGTGGGATAAAGTGGCTAGTGATATTAAGAATATTACAAAAGATGTGCTTGGAGTATCAGGGAAAAGCTCCTAATAGTAAAAATAGTTGGTGGTGGAATCCAAATGTGCAATAAAAGATTAAGAATAAGAAGATTTGTTATAAAAATTGGTATAATTTTAAAAATTCTGATAATTAGGAAAGATATAAAGAGGCTCATAAGGAATCTAAGAAAGCAATATATGATGTAAAGAACTTAACTTTTAGTGATTTATATAAAAAATTAGATACTAAGGAGGGAGAATGATATATGTATAAATTAGTCAAACAAAGAGATAGGAGTAGTAAGGATTTAATTCAAGTGAAGTGTATTAAGGATGAAGATCAAAAAATACTTTTCTTCGAAGATAATATTCAACAAAGGTGGATGAGATATTTTGCTAAATTTTTTAATGAAATTTGTGAAAATAAGATTGACTATAGTGACCTTAGCATCCTAAATGAAAATAAATATTTCTGTTTTTATAGGCATATTAGTAAAATCGAAGTTAGAGAGGCTTTAAAAAAACTGAAGGGTGGAAAAGTTGTTGGACCTGATGATATTCCAATAGAGGTGTGGAAATGCTTAGGGGATAAAGGTATTTCTTGGCTTACTAAACTTTTTAATACTATTTTGAAGACTAAAAAGATGCCAGATGAGTGGAGAATGAGTGTGTTAATTCATATTTTTAAGAATAAAGATGATGCATAAGATTGTGCGAATTATAAAGGAATTAAGTTAATGTGTCATACTTTAAAACTATGGGAGCGAGTTTTGGAGCATAAGTTGCAGCATGATACTATTGTTTCTCAAAATAAATTTGGATTCATGCCGTGTAGGTCGACTATGGAAGACACATTTATTAAGAGGTTTGATGGAGAAATATAGAGAAAATAAGGATGATCTACATATGATATTTATTGATTTAGAAAAAGCATATGATAGTTGCAAGAGAAGTACTATGGAGACTTCATGAAAAGAAAGGAGTTAATAATGCTTATATTCAAATCATTAAAATTAAAGATATGTATGCAGGAGCGATTACTTGTGTTCAAACACAAGGTGGTTTGACCAAGTATTTCCCTATTTCGGTTGGGTTACATCAAGGATCAGCCTTAAGCCCATATCGTTTTGCTTTAGTCATGGATGTTCTCACTAAACATTTGCAAGAGGATGTACCTTGGTGTATGCTTTTTGCTGATGATATTCTTCTTGTTGATAAGACTAGAGAGGGAGTTGAAAGTAAACTTGAATTATGGAGGTCAACATTAGACTAAAGGTTTTCGCTTGAGTAGATCTAAAACGGAAAATATGGAGTGTAATTTTAGTAGAATAGACCTAGTGAAGGGATTGTGACTTTGAGCGATCAAGCCATAAATAAGAGCACGTTTTAGATATCTTGGATCTATTGTTCAGAGTGATGGTAAAATAGATAGGGATATTATCAGCAGAATTCAAGTTGGATGGTTGAAGTGGAGGAATGCATCAGGCTTGTTGTGTGATAGAAAAGTACCCCTTCAAACTTAAGGAAAAATTCTATAAGATGGTAGTGAGGCCTGCAATGCTTTATGGTACTGAATGTTGGACATTAAAAGAGAAGCATAATATTAAGTTAAGTGTGGCAAAGATGAGGATGCTCAGGTGGATGAGTGGCTTTACCCTTAAAGATAGGATACGAAATGAGCATATACGTGAAAAGGTTGGAGTAGCTCCAGTAGAAGATAAGATTAGAGAGAGTCGCCTTAGATGGTTTGGTCACATAAAATGGCGGCCTTCCAATGACCCGGTTAGGAGAGTAGAGGTATTAGATTTGACTTATATTAAGAAAGGTAGAGGCAGACCTAAAAAGACCTGGTTAGAAACTATTAGGAATGACCTTTCTTTATTAGATTTAAACGAGAATTTGACCATTAATAGGACACAATGGAGAAAAAGGATTCATGTAGCCGACCCCACGTAGTGGGATAAAGGCTTGATATTGTTGTTGTTGTTGTATCTTGATTAAATTCATTACAAGATTTTTACTTTCATATTCCAATTAGAAAAAAAAAACACCCCTTCTCCAGCAAGGCCCCATGATATCTACACGATGAGAGAGGACTCCAGAGTTATTTTTCATGAGATAATTTTAATGCCGGACAAGCAAGGAGGTTCATCACTAGATCAATTATTAAAACCCGATTTCATGACAATTAATCATAATATATTTTTTTCTTTAGAATTTGAAATGCCAACCATGTGAGTTTTGAGGGAATATTTAAATATTAAAAAATATTTAGAAGTAATATCAATCACCAAAAATTAAATATTCAAGAAAAGCAATGATATGTTTAATTGAATACTTCAAATTAGAGTGGTATTGCTAGTTTCCAAATAAGAAAAGATCTTGAGCAACTGGCCAATAAATCCCCAGGATATATTTTTATAGAGGATATATTGGCCTATTTCCTCACCAAAAAAAAAAAATTGGTCTATTTCCTTGTGTTTCACTCATTTTCTACAGCACTTAGGGCTTGTTTCTGCTGTATATAAAATGCATGCATTTTATATTTTAAGTTGTTTGGTTTGAACCAAAGTAAATACAAAGTATTTTTCCATGCAGTTTGGAATGCAACTAGTACTACATTTTCTAAAGAATTTAGAAATCGTTCAATTTGAGCGAATTACAGATGCAATGCCGCAAACCTTTCCATTTGTGGTGCTGATGACTCTCAAGCTTGTAACACCCATCCTGTGACACCCAAGACGCTCCAACCTTTGAAGCTGACAATTACATTGTCCTAAGGAGCTTCAACATAATCACTAGTGGTTCCTCATTGGACACTCCAGCCGCAACAGCTGTGAACCTCTCCATCCAGAGCTGCAATGCCCATGACGCTTAAGGTTGCAACTTGCAAGGCTTCATTCTAAGTTAGCTTTTCTATTGATATTAAATTCACAATGTTATTAGTTCAACCACACACTCAAAAAATCACCTGCATTTCAAATACAATCTATTTTGTGTAC